ATCAAAGGAGGACCGGGCGGCTAGCATGAGCCAGCACAGGCCGCCGGTTCAGCTGCGGAGCAGGGGGCGTGTGGAGGAGCCGCCGCACAGACGTGGCCCGCGGCGTGAAGAGAGCCGAGATGATGATGGCAGCCGTGGGCGCCGGAGAAGCCGTGGTGAGAGCCGCCAGAGCCGTGGCCAGGCAAGCTCTCGAGGCGGCGGCCAGGCAAGCTCTCGGGGGAGCCGCAAAGGCGGCGGCCAGGCAAGCTCTCGAGGGAGCCGCAAGAGCTCCCGCGGCAGCGAGCACATGGACCGACGCTTCTCGGGCCGCTCCCGCAGCCGCAGGGCGAGCGAGCCTGCGGCAAGCTCCGGCCGCCGTGGGCGCGATTCGCGGAAGGAGCCGACAGGGCAGCTAGGCCGCAGCAAATCATCGCCAAGGGATCGGGCCATGGTGGCGGGTCAGAGCCAGAGCCCTCAGATCCCCCAGATGATGCTGGCCTTTTTCGATGCCACCACAAAGATGCTGGACATGCAGCAGCAGTAGTCCTAACATCGAAGATTTTTGGGCGAGAGGAAGAATCCTGGGCCTGGTGTCCTAAGATCCGTGCGATCCTGGACCCAGAGCCCTAAGATTCGGCTCTCGCAGAGGAGGCTAGGCCGCGGTAGCTAGGCCGTAGAGCCAGGCCGTAGGGTAGGAGCCCGACTGGCCTTCACCCGCCCTTAGCTCACGAAAGCCTTCAGGCCCCAAGCAAAGCTACAGCTACTACAGCTTTTAAGCTTTTAGCCGGAAACCGGAAACCTGAACCCTTAGGCACCAAGCAAAATACAGCTACTACAGCTTTTAAGCTTTTAGCCGGAAACCTGAACCCTTAGGCACCAAGCACAACTGAAGCTGAAAAGGCCAAGTCGGAAGTAGCTCCAGTGTTCCACTCACCAAGCACTGCCGAGCACAGTCGTGCCAAAAAAGTCATGGTATAAGTCTGTACACTGCAGCGTGCAGGGATCAGGACTTGGGAGTGCAGGATCTGTACAAGGATAGTACTGTAAGCGTTAGGGTTTTAAGGCCACAAGAGGACAGAACACAGAAAACACAGTGAATTCTCAAGGGGGCGGCCCTGGGGGTCTTCGGGGGGGCTTTGGGGGCACTGGGAGGGCTCTGGAGGGCGTTTGCAGGGGATTTAGCACCTGTTTGGGGGTCTCGTGTTCGGGGTGTCCGGGGTCGTGTCGGGGTCGTGTCCGGGATGTCCGGGGTCGTGTCCGGGATGTCCGGGGTCGTGTCCGGGATGTCCGGGGTTGTGTCCGGGATGTCCGGGGCGGGGCCCGGGAAAGGTGTCCGGGGCGGGGCCCGAGGGTGTCTGGGGCCGTTTTGGGTGTCCCGCCCATGTCCCGCCAATGTCCCGCCATGTCCCGCCCATGTCCCGCCATGTCCCGCCCGTGTCCCGCCATGTCCCGTCCCGCCGTGTCCCGCCATGTCCCGCCCGTGTCCCGCCATGTCCCGCCCATGTCCCGCCCATGTCCCGCCCGTGTCCCGAAAGTTCTCAAGGGGTTTCGGTCGAGCTCCACAACAACCGTGTTCGAGGGCAGCGGCTTGCCTTGGGCACGATGCTCTTCGATGCACTGAGATATGGTCTGCTTGTACAATGCGAGGTTAGCAGCGTGCCCTGCACACAAACTCTGCACATCGGTCGCAGCCAAGCTCAGATCCAAAATCTCTTCCACTGTGACTGCCGGGAGCAGATCCGTGCAGCACAGGGGGGCAGGGAGGAACGCCTGCATGGGGTCTGGCAGGCAGTCTCTCCTTAGCCCTCTGATGAAAAAACGACCTCTCTTGACTGGCAGAAACTCCGCAGCATCCTTTTTCACGGTGTCTACCAAAAAATATGGCAGTGACACTTCAAGTCTCAAGAGCATCTCATTCAGAAACTCAGCATGGTTGGCATCAGCCAAATGTGAGCTGTTTTCCAGAATGAAAAACAGAAGACAGCCACGCGAGCCTTCCTCACATATCATGCTTACAACTGATTCAAAAACATCTGTGCGGCCTTTTTCGTCCTGGGCGCCCTGCCTTAAACCTGTGGAGGCAAAAGGCTGACAAGGGGGCCCGCTTATCAAGCCTTCCGCACTTGACAGTTTTGACAGCACGACATTCCTCTCGATGTCCCCTTCTTGCAACCCAGTTTGACTTCCGAAGTCCCCTGCAAACCCTGGTTTCGCAGAGCTCGCCAAAACGGCACCAAGTCCATGTTGAAATCGTAGGCTGCGCATGGCCTGTAAACAAGCCCTGCTTTCTGCATCCACTCTCGATAAGCAGAGATGCCTACACAGGGCTCAGCAACCACAGGTGCACGCCCCAGCTTTGAGCTCCAAGGACTCATCGCATACAGGAGCTTCGCTGCCCCAGTCTCCATCATGCTGCAACCCACTAAAAACAAAAGCTTGGCTTGAGAAAGAAAAGAAATCAGGATGATGGCTCCGGCTGTCTACGCTATTCTTGGAACTGGCTTTGCTCACTCTCAGTGACAAACTCAGGACTGATGTAAACATTTCCACCCACGGAAAAAGACAAGCAATCATGCAATGCAGTCTCTCAGTCAGGCAATTGGGTGGCACAGTCTACCCTTGCAATGCACTTGTTTCCATTTCCATGCAAGGCCTTGAGACAGGCAATCATGCAATCTCTGAGTCATGCAATTCGGCGACAGCATTCCGCCGCAAACTCTTATTGTCGGCGACAGCATTCCACCGCAGACTCTGATTGTCGGCGACAGCATACCGCAAACTCTTATTGTCGGGCTGACCCGAAAAAAAACCGCACTCAGATTCTGGACCCTTCCTTCCACCATTGCCACCACCAAGTGGTCCCATCATCTGTCTCCATTCGTTGACCCTTCCTTCCACCATTGCCACCACCAAATGGTCCCATCATCTGTCTCCATTCGTTTCCAGCACCACTTCCAAATGATAGTCGCAACCCTTTCCCCTCGCGGGGATCGGGATCGCTCGGATCGCTCCTGTGTGCTGCTGCCCGCCTGCGGCGGGGTCGCATCGGTCTCATGAGCGGTCTCATGCACTGGAGAGTCACCTCGTTTGCGTTTGCCAGGCATACCCCTGGCGCTTTTTTTCTTTGCTGCTAACACAAACAAAGCCTCGAGAGAAAACGGCTGCTGTGCAAAGAGTTTAGAGGACGCAAAGGACATCATGAGACGTGGGCGGGACCGGGGCTGGGCGGAACTCGGGCGGGACAAGGGCGGGACATGGCGGGACGTGGGCGGGACATGGCGGGACATGGGCGGGACATGGCGGGACATGGGCGGGACATGGCGGGACATTGGCGGGACATGGGCGGGACACGGGCGGGACATGGGCGGGACATGGCGGCGGGAAGTGGGGTTGGGGCAAGATCCCATCACTGAGGACTACGGGGCCACCTTTGTTTCTTCTGAGTTGCGAGGACTTGTCGAGGCCATGGCAGGTCATGCGACTGCACAGGTGGCTCAGCATCGCTGAGCGGTGCAGCGCTCTGGGGCAGCGTGATGCCCTGCATGCGATCGGGAACGCTCTCTCGCCAGTGCAGCTGGCCGCTGTTGCCTCGCCGCTCGTGGAGGCAGCGGTCAACTCTGGCGTGCTCACTGCAGGCAACCGTTGCAAAGCCTGCGCAGTGGAGCTTCTGCCGCACACGAAGCCACCGGGTACATCAGCAGCTTGTATCCTTGAAGAGACCCCGAGGCCAAGCGCCACAAAAGGTTCCAAACCAAAGGCTGCAGTTGAAGAGGCAACACAAAAGATTCGAAAACCGAGGGCCAAAAGCAGTGCAAAGCCGAAGGCTTCAACTGAAGAGGCAAGCCCAAAGACCCGAACCCCGAAGGCCAAAACAGCTACAAAGCCAAAGGTTTCAACTGAAGAGGTAACCCCAAAGACTCGCAACCCCAAGGCCAACAGGGTTCGAAAGCCAAGGGCTCCAACTGAAGAGGAAGCTCCAAAGACTCTGCCTCGTGACACCAGCGCAAAGCCAGAGGCTTCAGCTGAAGAGGAAGCCCCAAAGACTCTGCCTCGTGACACCAGCACAAAGCCAGAGGCTTCAGCTGAAGAGGAAGCCCCAAAGACTCTGCCTCGTGACCGTGACACCAGCACAAAGCCGGAGGCTTCAGCTGAAGAGGAAGCCCCAAAGACTCTGCCTCGTGACACCAGCACAAAGCCGGAGGCTTCAGCTGAAGAGGAAGCCCCAAAGACTCTGCCTCGTGACACCAGCACAGCTGGTTTAGATGGCACCCAGGACTTACCACGTCACCAGCCAGAAGGCAGCACCCAGGACTTACCACGTCACCAGCCAGAAGGCAGCACCCAGGACTTACCACGTCACCAGTCCGATGACTTGGAGCTAGAGCTTGAGCGACTGGTTGACGAGCTTTTTTCGGATGATGATCCGGGCATGGACGTTGATGATGCTGCGCCACAGAGTCCACTCGTCCTGAGTGAGAAAGCAACACACCTCTTCGAGTGTTTGGCTAAAGCCAAAGCTTCATCCAAAAACTGGCTCTCGCCAGCAAGCAAGAGCTCCAAGAACGAATCTGAGCCAGCACAAAGCTCCGGAAGCAAGGTTGGCGACAGACGGAGGCGTTCTACTAGCTCAGGGCGAGACATGCCAGAGAATGCTCAGCGCAAGCTGCGTTTCCCACCTCACTTGAACCTGCCAAAAGAAGCGATCCACCTCTCGGATTCCGACTAGCGCTTCTAAGCGGTGTCGGTTGCCATGGTGGCGGTCTGCCTGTTCGTAGATAGGACCTGCTAGGATGGTAGGTGGATGAGCAGATGTGTGTGTGTGTGTGTCCACACAGCAAGCTTGAGAATAGTGCAAAACAGTCTTCCGATAACCCTTCTGTGTTCGCTGAGTAAGCTTGCCGGGTAGTTCCCTGATGACAGCCATTGAACTCAGGGTTCTTGTTTTTGTGTCTTGCAGCGATTTGTTTGGCTCCACAAGCCCCTCAGCTCCCACACTCGTGCTCCCCTGCCCCGCAGCAAGCATGACAGATGCCCCGGACCAGGAGATGCATCCGAACAGCCAGGCAGCTGCCGAGACCCCCGCCTTGGTGGTCAATCTGTTGAAGCACCTCAAGGAGAACCCGCTTCCCGATGAAATCATCAACTGCGCAACGGAGCCAGAGGATGAGATGACAGTGCCCCTTCTGCTCCCACCAACGCCGATGGAAGGCTTTACCCGGGATGTGACCCGGCACGAGTATTACAGCGAGCAAAAGAAGTGGGTGGAGCAGATGCTGCTGAGGAGCAGCCAGAAGTATTCGTGTGCGGTGGTCACCAGAGACAATGTGGCCAGGCCCTTCTTGCAGCAGCTGGACCAGATCCTGCCGGTGCCACTGCGTTCCGTGGCACGACCCTCGAGCAAGGAGCTGCAAGAGATCTGGCAGTTGTACTTTTACCAGATGGCCGGGGACTCCGGCCGCCTCTCGATGTCCACTGACTGGGGCTTGCCCGAATTGCGCATCTGCTGCGAAGGCAAGGAGATCTACTTGGGGTTCCCCGTGAAGAAGCTAGCCGGCAACACGACGGCCGAGATGCTGCAGCACCTGGAGCGGATGCGTGCAGAAGAGTTCCTCACGGCAGTTGAGCGGGATGGCTGGTGTGTGACATGCCGCCCTGGGAGGGGAGTCGTGCTGCCCACGAATTGTTTGTTCGTTCATCTGAGCCTGCAGGGACCTGAGACCTGCCACGGAGCCAGGATTCACATCGTGTCTGACAAAAGCCTCCAGACGGCTCTCACTCACCTGGAGAGGCAGGTCCAACAGGACCCGACACTGGAGTCCAAAAGAACCGGCCAGCTGCTGAAGTGGATCCGCGAGAGGTGAACTGTGCGGCATCCTTAGCGTCCAGGCTGCAGCTTCTGCTGCTAACCTGTGACCTTATGGATCATTCACCTTGGCTTCGTGGCTGCCACTGTTGGCTACCCACTTGCCTGCTCCCCGCAACCCCATCTCATCGGGGTGCGGTTTTTAACAGTTGTTTTCGGCAGGGGTGCTGCTTCGCAGCTATCCCTTCGGCAGGGGTGCTATCCTGTGGGCTGCTGCTTTTGCAGCTAACCCATCGGCAAGGGTGCTGCTTCGCAGCTATCCCTTTGGCAGGGGTGCTGCTTGGCAGCTACACTGTGGGCTGCTGCTTTTGCAGCTAACCCATTCTTGCCTTTTTCCGAATCCTGGGAAGATACAACTGACACCAAGACGTGCGGGAGAATAGTGGGATCAGCGTCTGAGAGCAGAGCCTTAGGACTAGGACAAGTACAGACCTCAGCAGTATCTGAAGCTGTAGGCTCTGGAGAAGCGGTTTGGGTACACACTCGTGCTTACTGTTGAGGTCGGGTTTCTCAGGGTGTTACTGTGCACAGTGTCACCGGGTTCCCTGTCAGCCAAGCTTCACTTTTGAAGCTTGCAAAGGGATGTATCGATTCACCTGTCAACAATCTGCTCTCAGACAACCCACAAACAAAAAAGTTGTGGGCCAAAGCCGTAGGGCCGTAGGGAGTCCTGGGTGTCCGGGGTTATGTCAGGAGTTTCGGGGGGGGGGACGGGGTTGTGTTCCGGAGGGGGTGTCCGGGATGTCCGGAGTGGTGTCCGGGGTGGTGTCCGGGATGTCCGGGGCATGTCCGGGGCATGTCCGGGGCATGTCCGGGATGTCCGGGGCATGTCCGGGGTTGTGTGTCCTGAGGTCTGTGTCCCGAGGTCCCACCCAAGGTTTATGCATTAATATCATCTAGGATGGGACAGGGGAGAGCATTTGCTGTACTGCTGCATTTCATGAACCGCAGAAGTTAAGCTCTGTCAGTTTCGGTGTTGAGCGGTGTGCCTTTCAGGATGTCCAGCCAACGTTTGTTCGATAGCCAAGTGATGCTGGACAACGACTCTGTGCTGTTCGACAGCCAGGTTGATCCAGGGACTTGGGCAGCGGGGCGCACGTTGGCTTCACCGGTTGTGCCTGCTGCTGGTTCTACTGCAGTGCACCAGACTGGCCTGAAGCGCAAGAATGCATGCCTGGAATGGGAAGGCGATTTTCCAGACACCCAGGTAGAGCTGTATCCGCCGCCTACTATCGTGAATATCAACGAGGACCCAAGCCCAAAACCGAAACCCCGCAATGAGGTGGCTGAGAAGTCCTCAGAAAAGTCCTTGCAAGAACAGCTAGAAGCCTCCCAGTCGAAGGTGAGTGAGCTGCAGGAACTGAACAGAACTCTGCACTGCAAAGCCGCGGAGTTAGCACAGCAGCTGGTGCAAGTGATGGAGGAAAAAAACAATCTTCTGGCTGAGAAGCATGCGAAGATGATCGCTGACTTGAGGGTGGTGCGTTCTGCCCGCGAAGAGCTTGACGAGCTTTTGGATCTTAATTTTGATGACGACGACGATCAATGCTGAGAAGCAGTTCCTGAGGCTTGGCCTTGAAGTTTCTGTTGCCGTCCTGGCTGCTGGGGAGCTTTTTCAGCCAATGCAGTTTTTGGCCACGGGCCGCAGACTTTTCATTCAGGGCAGCAGGCTCAGGGTGCTACCGCGAAGGCTTCGCGATGCGCCCAGTGCCAGCCGCCTTGAAGAAAGAGGCTCATGGGTAGTATGTATACGGCTAGAAAGGCAGGGGAATGCAGGGGACTACAGAAACCAGGTGCTCCGAGCGTGAGTGTCGGAACAGTGGAAAAAGAGGACCTGAGCTTGTGTAGTTTCTGAACGGTAATAGGGATGTGTTATGGGCCTTGTTAGGGAGGGTTTTGGACTGGCGAGGGCTTGTGCGTGCTACCAGAAAAGGACCGATTTTGTTTCAAGGGGACGTGTTTTTTTTTGGTTGGGAAAACGCAGCTTTTGAGTGAACGGTTTAAACCCTATTAGAACGAATGCAATTTTTCTAAAACGGTTCATAACCTTTTTTTATTTCGACCCCGTTTGCAGCAAGGGTTAACGCCCCCCGGGCCTAGATGAATCACTTATACGCAGGACGCCGCTTCGCAGCCCAGCTCTCGAGAGACCGAGCCCGCGCTGAAGAAGCGCAGGCCCAGTGCGCGCGCCAGTGGCTCCAAAGTCAAAAAGGCCAGAGCGGGCATATCGGTGGAGTCTGCGTCGGCAGACAGCGAGCAGCTGCAGGGACAACTCCCGGGCAAGGACCTATGCAAGACGTGGTCGCTGTCGGAGTTGCAGGCCTTCGAAGAGATGGCAGCGCATCAGGTCACCGCGGCGGACAACGCCGTGTTGGAGGCGGAGCAACGCCTGGCCGTGAGCAAAGCCCTCCCCGCGGAGCTTCGCCGAATGGTTTGGGAGCGTGCCGGACTGTTGCCGAGCACAGAAAACGAGGAGGTGCTCAAGGCGAACGCGGAGCGCCTCGTGAAGCATACGTTCCAGATGGTGAAGGAGGTGCGCCTGGCGTGGGTACAAGCCGCGGTCCAGGAAGACAACAAAAAGACGAACATCGCCCTGCTGCCGGAGGACAAGCTGTTCCATCAGGTGCTGACAGAAAGGCTCCCAGAGGAAAACCGTGCGGCATGGGAGGCTGCCCTAATGGAAGACTCGCCCGAAAGCTTGCACTCGCGTGCGGTGCTTCTCAAGGGATTGTGGGACGCAGACGCAGCAGTCGCCAACTACAACAAAGCCCTGACCTTCGCCGAGGCATTTGCCAGCAAGGAGCCCAAGAAAGACAAGGCGTTGGATCTCGTGAACTTGATTCCGGCCACGGTGGCCGCCGCCTTCGGACTTCCGCCATCGGAAAAATTCGAGCGCCAGAAGCCGGCTAACTGGAAGAGCTATTGCAGCGTGGCCTTCACGCTGGCCTGGCACATTTTCAAGAGCCATGCGGATCTCAGCTAGAAAGTCTAAGCCGGCGAAGACCAGTGGCCGGGTAACCAAGCACAGCGGGTACAGACCCCGGCCCTGTCTCAGACGGCGAAAACGGAGTGGATCATGCTCGCAAAGGATAAAGAAGGTCCGGGGGCACGTTGAGCAACACGGAAAGTACCCGTAAGACAGTCCAAGCAATAGCACAGCATGCAATCCAGTAGCACAATATATGCACGTCAATCCGATCTCCGGTGAATATCACTGTACATCGAAAGTCGTATCTTCGGCACCGGACTCAGATGCAACTGCGTTCAGTCGATAGCAATCCGCCATTTTGCGAGACATGTTCAATCCGTGGAAGCGGGCGCAGCTCCTACACGCATCTCACGTCGGCAGGATTGCCGTGAGCGGAAGGGCCAAAACATGCGTGCAAGGCTGAGATAGGCGTTGTTTGTGTCGATTCAGTGTGTCGGCAGCTCGCAAGCGTCCCAGTTGCCTCGTCTGTCTGGTCGGCTCCAGCATCTCTGTTAGACTAGCAATCCTGGCAACTTCGGCATGCACTGTACACATCGTGGGCCAGGACCGCTTTGCCTTTCGCCCTGGCGGGCCACTGAGATTTTTGCTTTATGACTTTGTGGTCTGTCGGCGACTCTCGCCGAGGCAATGACATGGAGGCGCGCCTGGGACCGCATGAGACGCTTGCAGGCATCGGGACGGCTGCTCTGCCCAAAGCAGGAGACAATCTGAAGGACGACAAGCAGCGGGTCGAAAAGGAATAATGCGGGGTCGACGACGTCACGGGCTCCAGGTTCGGTCGGTCTTGCAGTGAAGCCTTTGCAACCGAGGCCTTCGAATGGAAACCGTTTTGGCAGGCTGGGCTGTTCGCAATCGTGGCGCAGTTTGCATAACACCATTTGCAGGATGGAACAGACCATTGCGGTCGGATCCTCGGACAGCAGCAACGGTGTGTGCTCTCTTTTTCTCCAGTTCTTGCGGTCACACTCTTCTGTTGGTTAACTTTTCTTGTGGCGGAAGTCGACGAGGACTTTGCAAGAGCCTCGAGCTTCTGTGGTTCTTGCACTGAAGTCTTTGCAACCAAGGCTTCGAATGGAAACCGTGTTGGTAGGCTGGGTTGTACGCAATCGTGGCGCAGTCGGCATAACACCATTGACAGGATGAAAGGGAAAGCATTGCGGTCGCACCCTCGGACAGCAGTAACGGTGTGTGCTCTTTTCTTTGCAACTCCTGCGGTCAGACGCTTCTCTGGCCCAATTTTTTTGTGGCGGAAGTCGACGACGACGTCGCCAGAGTCTCGAGCTTCTGTGGTTCTTGCACGGAAGTCTTTGCAGCCGAGGCCTTCGAATGGAACCCGTTCTGGCAGGCTAGGCTGGTCGCAATCGTGGAGCAGTCTGCATGACACCATTGACAGGATGAAACGGGAGCCATTGCGGTCGCACCCTCGGATAGCAGTAACGGTGTGTGCTCTTCTCTTGTCAACTCTTGCGGTCAGACTCTTCTCTGGCCCGACTTTATGTGGTTGACTCTATATCCGCATCGACATATTGGAAGTCAGGCACAGATGCATGCAGATGCCGATTTTGGCTGAAAGCAGCTGCAGCCGCTCGATTAGTGAGACTTTACTGGCATGGCACCCAAGCCGGCGCAAGATAAGGTTGAGCGGCTTCGCCGCGACGGCCTGTCGGAACACAGCATACGAGAGCAGCTCAAAACCGAGGGTTACAAGTCCGGACGCATTTCCCAGCTGTTGCAGCAGACGCGAGTCGAGGCATCGATCGAGACGAACATCGGGGAGGAACGCCGGAGCACAATGCGCATCCAGCGGTTGCGCAGCTTGAACGCGGGCTCGCAAGCATCATCCTTACTGTGACAACAAGCAGCGAGGATACTCTCGCGTTTCCGGCGGCTCAGGACGAAGCAGAAGACACTCTCCGGGACCCTGCCGGCTTCGAAATGCCCTTCGACCCGGAGGACATGTGGAAAGACTATGAACCAAAGGAGGAGTGCCCTGCGCCGGACTCGCCAGT